TGTACCAAAAAATAACAAAAATGGTTCTCCGCGCGTCATTATAGTAGTGTTGCGCGCATGCGTATAAACGTAAAATCGAAAACTTTGGAAGGCCATAACTTCGGAACTAAATGAGAGCGACAAATTCTGTTTGCACCATCGTTCTTAACTCGATGAGATACATAAGTTTCGATAAAAAAAATTGAAAAAATCGCTTGGCCCCTAAACTAGATTTATGCCAAAATATTAATATCACACTCGGACGATGAACATTTTTTCGTTCGACATCATATTTTAGATTCTGAGTGAAACAATGAATGTATTGATTTTACAATTATGTGTGTTTTTTTTATTTTTTTATTTTTTAATTTAATTTTTTAGTTTTTTTTTAATTTTTTAATTTTTTTTGTGTCTGTGTACACGATAAGTAGTCGAAATAATGCTTCGATTTTTAACTTCAGTATCTTGTTCGATTGGAAAGTGAATCGTTGGTGCATTGGGAAGGTTAAATTTCCCAGTAGTTTTCAAAAGCGCCGGGAAAAACAAAAGAAAAATTAAGGAAAAACGGGAGCTTTTACGCAAAATCTGTTTTCGAGAAAATCGATTTTGGTTTTTGGTGTAACTTTAAAACAAATGACCGTAGATACATGAAATTTTCAGTGGTTGTTTATATTTTAGTTTTTTTTTTTATGAATATCAATAAAAATTTATTTGTTGAGTAAAAATACTTGAAAATTTAATATAAGGCTCCTACTATATTGTTTCAAAGACAGATGAAAAATATTAAAAATCGTTAGTCACAGTTTTTTTTTTTAAGCATTTAAAGTTCAAAAAATGACAAAATACGGAAAAATCACGAAATTATTTCGAGTTAGAAATTCATAAAAATTTTTCTTTTTAAATCTAAGATATGAAAATGTAATACAAGATTCCTTATAAGATTTCCTACATTTATCAAAAAAAAAATTCTATAAGAAAGTCAAATTAAATTTTTATGAGCGTTTGAAATTCAAATTTTTACGACATTGGATATTCACTCGATTTCTCATGTGGCGATTTCCTTATTTTGTTGTAATTCAAAAACAAATTACTGTAGATACATGAAAATTTCACTGAATGTTTATATTAGCATTTCCTATACACCATACAATTTTAAAAATATTTTGACTCTTTTTGAGCCGTTTACGGACATTTTCAGTTTTCAATTTTTTTAGTTTTTTTTTCTATAAATATCAATCAAGTTTAATCTGTTGGGCCAAAGAGTGTAAAAAATTAATACAAGGCTCCTGATATATTTCTACAATAGCAGTTGAAAAATATTAAAAATACATAGGCACAATTTTTTTTTATAAGCGTTTAAAGATCGCATTTTGACAAAATTTATCAAAATCTCGAAAATTATCAATCATCGTAATTAATAAATTATAAAATGTTCAGTTTTTATAGCTAAGGATTGAAAGTTTAAAAAAAAGATTCTCATAAATAGGTCATACTGTAGCCAAAAAATCTAAAAAATATATGAGCACAGTTATTTTTTACAGACATTTTAAGTTCAAATTTGGGACGAAATTACATATTAAAAAACCTAGCATACATATTTTAGTTATTTTGTTGTGAGTGTATAATACTATTCGTGGGTACTTTAAACTTCTAAAGTACACTGTATTATATATCTATGATAGTTTCAGGGTTTGTTATTGATGTATAACGTGTTATAAGTACCTAATGGATATTGTGATATAATTAATTTGGAATATATTATAGGTCAATTTTTTTTTTAATACCATTATAGATATGTATAATATAATATGTCTTAAACCTAGACTGACATACCGTCTTCGCTCAGAATCGTTTTTCTTATACAATGATATTGTATCATTGAATTCAAATTTAATAGCATCCATTATACAGTGACCCACTTGTAACCTACTGTACAGCAGAGCGACATCCACTTACCCACCTTTTTATTGTTTTTAATACATAATATTATTAGTCCATAAAATATAATACAATAATAATGCCGAGACGTATAGGTGTCTGGTGTATAGTTAAAGGTAAACCTTTTGATATTGATTTTAAACAAGTCTATATAGGCATTGACGAGTTGAAAAGTTAAAGTTAAGTTAAAAAGCTAATTTTATTTTAACTTTTTAACTGAACTAGTTACTTTTGGCTTTTTATTAACTTAACTGTTAACTATTACTACATTTTTTTTTAATTAACGTGAAATGAACGTATTCATTTTTCATTTGAACAAGTACCTAATAGTTTAGTAAATTTATTTATTTTTTAATTTAATTATATTTCGTTTTAATGTCAAAAAATATTTACTACCGTGAATTGTTTGAAGTTAAAAATGTATACCATTAGAATTTGACTTTTATATGGAAATATTGTATAAAGTATAAACACTCAACACTCTATAGTCTATAATTTAATTTTGAGTTGGAAAAAAATGAAGTACGCCAGTGTTGTATAAACAAACTAAATTTTTTTTAACTATTAATAATAAGTCAACAAAAAGTGTGTAAGTATTAACTTTTAACTTAACTGAGTTAACCTATTATTGTTAAATAAACTTATAACTTTTAACTTTTTGTTATTGGTGCATATTAACACTTAACTGAGTTAAAAAAAAAAACATTAACTTGCCCAGCCTTGGTTTTAAGTCGTGATAATATTATTATTATCGACATTTGAAATAAATTCTTCGCTAGCATCCGCTTGATATTATAATATATACCATTGCCATACACTACTGCTGCAGCATCTATATTATACAGTCGCATTATTATTATATTAATCGTAACGACGCGGTGTTGTAAGAAAAAAAAATCCGTCATTGTGAAATGTTAATTTCCCGCCCGCAAATATCATATTATATACGAGCTCGCCAACAAATCGTAGTGGCGTTCTCTCTAAAATCCGGGTGGCATACACATTACATACCTACATAATAATATAATATATGTATATATATATACACACTTGAGTTTGTGAAGAATTTCTAGAACGCGCGACCCGACGTCATCGTCATCGTCGTCTTCGCGCGAATTTCATTGACCCATTCCGTTTAATATAATATATAGCGTTCGCACATAATAATGCCGGTTACTAGCCGGTCACTCGATATACAGTGAAGGATACGATATAGTGAACAGTCCATGTTATCATCGTTATTCTATAAAGATATTTACGTATTTACGAAATCGCATTAAAAAAACACTATCACGCGGCCATAAACGATTGGAGGTGGTCATCAGCTGCACTATATATTATATATATATTATTATTATTATTATACTTTTCCTCGTGCGTTTCCGAATGCGCGCCAATAATACGAATAATATATTACCACAGACTATATTATTATATGAAAATAGTTTTTTTAGTTTTTCACCATAAAATGCCGTCTATATGGTAATAGTATAGGCGTAACCAGGAATTTTGTATGGAGGGAGGGCTAAAGTCCTCTTAGCCCTCCTGACTCCTCCTAGGTTTGTACCTATATGGCCATATACTATATACTCGAATTTTAAGCTAGGAAACAATTTTTCACAGAATTTCGGAGATCTCTGCAATCACATAGATTATTACTATAATATGATATTATACGCCGCACCGGAGTGTCAAAGTCGACATAATATTAAATTATTATACATTTATAATAACCGCACGCGCGCCTAGAGGCACTATATTATATTATACACGCTTGTCTTGGAATTCGACTTTTTGAATAGCTTTATAGTTTTTTGAACGTCGTGACAGCTCGCGGGGGGCTTATCGTATATATTATTATTGTTGTTGTACTCGGCTATATTATGGACTGGAATTGGAGAACGTGCAGCCAGCGAGTGATACTTGACCGAAAACAAATCGATCGGCTGAAAGCTGACCGACCGGGCTGATCCGAGTCCGGCTAGCTATATACCTATCACAATATTATTGTGTTGTTATTATATTTTCAGGCGAGACGATCTCCGCTCCCGTTTAGACTTGGTCGTCGGTCCTCGCGGTGGTTTTCCTCGACGAGGGGTGCCTATTGGAAAAACCACTGCTCCCTACAAATATTATTATCGATACGAGAGACACATTATTATTATTATTGTCAATTCAATATTATATTATTATGTGGCACGGGCTTTTTGTTTTTGTTTTTCGCGTTGGCGACGACGATGACCGACGACCATAATAATAAAATAGTACGCTCGAACGGCGGCGGACGGATCCTCGGCGGGCGGCGGGCGGTAGAACGGCTGTGACCTCGCCGCGGTCGGTGGCGGCGGTGACGTCGCGCGTGTTTGCCGCCAGGCAGCGCGCCGATCGCGGGTCCCCGGCCCGGAGACACCGCCGCCGAACCGTGCCGGGCGAAAACGCGTTTTTAAAAAACTCAATTCCGATCATTCCTGACATTCCGATCCGCACTGTCGAAACCGCAGCACGCATACACTCTCACACTCACACGCTCTCTCGCTCACACACACACGCGCGCACACACACATTGACATGAACGGATATTATACACGCAGCGTAGAGCGCGAGCGCGCGCGCGCGCGCACGTATATGCCGCAGTGACGTTCCCCGGCCCCGCGGGACACCACAACCGAATCCGTTTGAGAACAGGTAAGTCCTCTGGTCGGGATCTCGTACTCGCCGCGGTCGTCCGACACGTACCGTACGTAAAACCGTCGTATTCATCACGACTACTACAACTTACTGCACTTTGTCGTTCGGTATATGATAATATTGTTTTCATAATAATAATATTATAATAATTGTGACTATTATTACTACGACTGCTGCAGCTGCTGTCGTAGTACTCTGTCGCCGGTCCCGTTTCTTCTCCTCAAGTGTCTCGCGATCGTCGTATTACTACAACTGTCTGTAATCATCTAGTACTGTCGTACGGTATAATACCTACACCTACGTCCTAGTACGATCGACATAATATTATTATTTAAATCATAAGCTCCGCCGCGGTGCAGCGGACGACTACGACGACTACGACCAAGACTCGTGGTATGGAGAGCGAATCGCCGTTGGAAGTGCTGTCCAGGGCGGCCACGATGCTGCACAGGGAGGAGACGGCGGCTGCGGCTGCTGCGGAGTCTTCTTTCGCCACCAGTGAGTACCCAAAACTACCTACCCGGCAAACTGCATATTCGGACCATAATATTAGGTCTTGTCGCAGATCTCTAGTATTATTGTTTTTATAAAATATAATTATTACTTATATAATATAGGTACACATATGTGTAACCTATTGTGTACCGGCGCCCTAGCGATAAATATTTATTCTGATATTCATATTAAGACGTTATATCGTTAAACACGTCCTGTCGGGGAGAAGACCAGTAGAACATGCGAGAAGACGTTTACGCGTGCCGCGGGTTTCCCCGGTTTCCGAAGCCCGAGAAACGTGCGCGCGTATTGCTGGACGTGCGCGCCGCTGACTTATCGAGCGGAGGTTTTTATTATTTTCGCTCTCTCGTATCCGACGAGGACGACGAGCGCTCGCGCCGGTATCCCCCCGATCGTTATCGGTCCGGTCGATTTCTCCGGCCGGCCGCCGGTTAGGTTGCCTATGCCGCGCGCCCCGACCGGCCGGATTCCCTCCGCTAGGCCGGAAAACTCCGACCGCTCCCGCCACCCACACGATCTTTTTTTTCCGAAGAGGGTGTGTGATAGGCTCGCGTCTGATTCGTTATTGCAGTCGAGCTAAGCCAACTCCAACTACCACGGCGGTGGAGGGCCCGTGGTCGTATTTTGCGTAAGGTACACAGTTGTTTTCAACTATGTTTTCAATATTATATAATGTACCGAAAAACGACAATTTACATATTATTATTAGCCACTACGAGTAACAGTGAGCATCGCCACAGGAAGACGAGCGATATAGCAAATAGTGTCCAGCTCAGAATGTATTGATTTTATCTCAGATTTTACAATGTGTTTTTCGATTTTTGTGTCTGAAGACACGTCTTTTTCTAGTTGAAATAAAACGAAGCTCCGATCATCTACTTCGATGAAGGTTTTCGGTAGCAAATCGGATCTAGTTGTTACTTTTAAGAGGAGTTCAAAATTGCAAATTTCTCAATACTTTTAAAAATAATTGGGAAAAAATAAAATACGAACATTAATTGTTTAAATTATTATAATATTATCATAATTAAAATAATTGTTTGGTGACCTTGGTTAGCAAAAAGTTAGACCTTCTTCGCTCATAATCGCTTTTTGTCGTATTTTGTATACAGCTACACAATTATTTATCATTGAATTAAAATTGAACAAATCCATTACAGTGCCGAGTACTCAATGACGAGGTACCTCGACACCAGTTACTGTACGACATAACTTGGTGGATTTTCCAAATTTAATTTTCGACCAACAAACATGCAAAACAATTTACATATATTTAAATCGAATTGATGATGTCATACACAATAGAGTTGTCAATAAAAACAAACACTCTAAGGCAGGTCATCGGTCAAGTATTATAATCAAAACACATTACGGAATGCATATTTTTTTTTATAACTTATCATCTACCTATTACCTATATGATACTATTTACGATAACTAGATCAAGTTGCTCAACATAATATTATAATAATACATTAATATGTGTTTTGTGTTTACATTAACATAACACAAAAATAATAAATTAATTCCTTTTTCAATGCCCAATATAACATTATAATTTTGTTTTAAATAACTTTCGGTTTATGAATAATAATCTAATTATAATTTACTTACCTATTTTACTGTATAGGTATTTATCATTTTTGAATCATTGAACTTTGACATTTTAATGTCATTGTTACACATTAAAAACAATTAAAACGATACGTTTTAACCAATAACTCGATATTCATCGATGTAATAATATATTGTTAATGTTGATTAATTTCATGCCAACTAGGAACAAATAAGTTGTATGTTCGTATGAAAGTAGTAAAAAATAACAATAAAATCGAAAAAATAAAAAAATTCCGAGGGGAATTCGCTTTGTTGTATGGTACCTAAGTGCCGAGTTTTTTTAGAACGATCCGTTTGCTTATAATATAACATGTATTGATGTAACTTTTATTGAAAACGGTCCAGTAGTTGTTGAGTTTATAGAGTAAAAATAAATAATGAAACATTTATTTTTATATAATATATAGATTATAGATAGATTATATATTGTATTGATGTTTCCTATTAGTAATACGATAGGTTGAATTAGTTTTTGCTCGGAAAGTCGGAACATTGGATTTATTATAGGTATTATTAAAATATTAATTATCAAGTACCTGTATATTTATTTCATATATTATTGTTATTCATTTTTGAATCAATGTATCGAAAATGTCATCGTGTATCGTAAAATACATCAAAAGTCAAAGTATTAGTCCCCCAAAAAATTGTTTTGAATTGAAACAAATAAGTGATTAAAATCTTGTATCTACCCATAATATGTAGGAATTCAAGGTTTAGCTATTAAAAATTGAAAATGTAATACATTCTTAACTAAAAAATAATTTGCACATGTTTGTAGTTTTAAAGAATTGTATCAAAATTTGAACTTCAAACGCTTGTATGAAAACCCATGCATCTATGACTGTATTTTAAAATCGTATAGTCATATTATAAGAACTGCAATACACAATAGTTATATGGGATCTTGTTCTAATTTCCAAGCGTTAGCCCAAACATTTGAAAATTTAAAATTAGTCTAAATGTTTTGAAAGGTTTATCGTATATGGAATATTATAATAATAATTTAAATAAAAGTTGAATGCCCAATCAAAAATAACAAATATTGCTAGAGGATAAATATTTATATTATACGTTTGAATATCCTACACAATTCAAATGCTCTCCAATGTCGTTAAAATGTACACTTAAATCCCTCGTCAAAACTGTATGTGTGTGGACACATTAAACTTATGAGAAATCTCGTAGGCATTACATTTTCAGTTGCAGTGGTGTTAGAATTTAAAAAAAATATGAATTTTTCACTTTAAAATAATTCACAAAGTTTCGTGATTTTGATAGCATTTGGAATAAATTTTAAATTTAAATACTTATATAAGAAATGGGGACTTCATATTTTCATTATTTTTCAATTGGAGTGTAACAACTTACGAGACTTGTACTTATCGAATTTTAACCATTGGTAGAACCCTTCGCTCTTCAGGACAGAATAAGTTTATTTAATCATATCAGTTAATTTTGGAGGTCTTGGCACAAAAATTAATAATGACAATCAATATTTGCTGCACCACGTTATTATTTGATAAGCCCATCAGTTATAACTAATTATATATAACTTTCTTGACATGGCAAAAGTCTTCGTTAACCTTACTCCTCTTCTTCTATACCCATTCAGTGTGCAGTATACTGACTAGAGTCATATTATTATAACACACCACGGATTCTCAAGTCTGTACACACTCAATAAATATAGCGAATATCCGCACAAGCGTATTATATAGGCATTTGGACTACTTTTCAGACAGCCATCTTGTTCGTGAAAATTAGATTTTACAAGAACGAATACGAGTTTGAGAGTTTATACTTAGAAAAATACTTCTCGCGAGTAGGTGTTTACATTCGACGAACATCGTGTAGTTCTTGGCGAACCTTACACTGTACGAAAATATATACCACTCTCCCGGTGCTTGCCCGTAGCCAATTTGAAAATAAAAAGGATTAATCCGGATTAATCGGATATCGAAACGATTTTCAGAACGATTGCAATATACCTATACTATTGTCGGAAAAGCTCTCGTGGCGAACGTAATACATTAGGTATATAATACGTTTTAGATACATATTTGAAAACTCTGCAACGATTTGCGAAGCCAACTGCTTGCCACTTTTTCGAACACTGAACATAATATAAATTATAATATAACAATGATCGATGTGACATTGCCCAATGTTTTTCTTCTGTATCTTGCCAACATAAAAGCAGTAGGTAGGTTATATTATATATAGCAGGGGAGGCAAACAATTTTTAAAGTTTTTAAAAAAAATTCAATTACCAGTAATACCTATCTATGTTCATAAATAGTACCTAGGTATATACAATTTTTTTCAGGGTAATGGGCGTTTAAAAAAAATGCACCATATAATAATTGTTGGTATCAGTTGCGTATTTTTTTCAACCGTACATATATTTTGATGAACACAACCAGTTATTAGCTTCACCTAACAAATTCTATTATTCCTCTGATTGGATTTGAAATAATTCATTGTGGAAAATAAACTTTCACATATTATGTAGGTAAGCTGACTTGAATATTGAGTTATTTTAAATGAGCCACTTTAAAAGCACAAATTATTATATTTGGGAGCAGTGAGTTCCAAACTTTTAACTTTTATCATTTTTTAGAATTAATAAGGAAGTTTTTCACTGTATATATTCTCAAATGTAACTGGATGCATCTCTCCATTGAATAAACGTTTGAAAACGTCCATAGATACTAGATACTAGACTACTATTAATTCTTCTGTTAGTGATATTTTTTTTGAAATACAAGTGATTATTCACCTAACAAATTCTATTATTCCTCTGATTGGATTTGAAATAATTCATTGTGGAAAATAAACTTTCACATATTATGTAGGTAAGCTGACTTGAATATTGAGTTATTTTAAATGAGCCACTTTAAAAGCACAAATTATTATATTTGGGAGCAGTGAGTTCCAAACTTTTAACTTTTATCATTTTTTAGAATTAATAAGGAAGTTTTTCACTGTATATATTCTCAAATGTAACTGGATGCATCTCTCCATTGAATAAACGTTTGAAAACGTCCATAGATACTAGAATACACTAATTAAATTCTTCTGTTAGTGATATTTTTTTGACAATACAAGTGATTATATTCTATTCAAACATTATTATTACTAGCATTATATCCTGCAGTACTGTCCGGTGATAAAATTGTTTTGTTATTTTTTTTTCTACTCAAAGTCTATACCTATACATGTTATCTAAATTAAATCACGGAAAGACTATATTTGCTAGTTGCTACTAACTATTTAATATTTCAATTGTATTTATGTACCTATATGAAGTTATTCAACCAAACGTATTTATTACAGTTTAAATTTTATATTTACTAAAAAAA